TTACGTGTACATCGACGCTAAAAAAAAGTGTAGTAAAAGTATAATGTACTGCCGCAGCTCGTGTCTTTCATCTCGATGAAAGTAATTATTAACGGTACGGCAATGGTCTTTAAAAGCCAAACGAGCGATCGTTGACGAGGGCGCACAAGCTCTAGCTCGGAAAATATATAAAACTAAAACTCGAAGCGGTCGCAAAACGTTTCCAGCTAACGTGGCTGTGGGTGTGTGTGCGTGTGGTTTTTATACAGGCTGATGCGAGTACGTATGCGCGAGCTAGAGCGTATAAAAGTGTACAATATGCACAAGCCATGCACATCGAGAATCGGACGTCGTTATACAATATACAACACCGTCGTTAACGACCTGCAAAATTGTAACAGTACAAAAGTCGACTATGTGCTATACCTAAACGTGGGCGCTCTCGACACAAGGTTGTATCGCAGTTCCAGAAACGTGTGTATATTATACACATATATCGACGCAAAAACATATACACCCCCGCTCAAGGTAGAGACGCGTATAATAAAGCGGCGAGCTGCGACTCTATAGACTGCACGTACCGTGTCTAGTCGCCACACAGCAGAGACATGGGGATATGTGCGCAAAAAAAAGAGAGTACAGGTTTATTTTTAGATGTATAATACTCGAGAGCCGCACTCTCGGTTATCGCGCGCCCGTCGATGTCAAAGTCAAGAGCTTCGTTGGCGTTATAGATACAACGCGCGTGAATGGTGAAAAAAAAGCTTATACTCTCTCGACGCGCTCGTACAATTGGTTCGATGTCTCTGACACTTGCCGTATCCCGGAAATACGATGGAGCTTAATAATCGTTACGACGAAAGCAATTGTCAAGAATGTTTAATCCTAAGTCCGTTTTCGCAGATGAAGGAAGACAGTATAAAGAAACGGCAATCATCGGCTCGATCGACGATCTATAAGATACAGAAAGTTCGCAGTATTGCGTGTCTGTACGACTATTGCGTGCACAAATGCGATAGGTAATAACAAAACGCGAAAATCGCGCTGAAAGCTTTCAATTCACCGGCTGATAAGCGTAGAGATCAGGCCGATATCTTGACTCGCAGGGAGTGCGCAAAGGATAACTCGAGTAATTTAGATTAGATATTCGATGGTCGACGATGTCAGACGTAATGTTATTTAGAACCGTGTGAACATATTCGAATGTACATAAACATGGCGAAGTAAATGAATATTAGCAAAACGGTAAAAGATTTGATGCAAATAAGAAAAGAAATAATAATTTATCGCTCCGATGAATGGCGCAACGATCGAGGGCAAACGAAAAGTTCATTGCGACTCATTTTTTTTCCAAGCATAATAAACAACGACACGCTGCGCAATAGGGCGAACTTTCTCTCGGTCGATGTTCGAACCCACCACTCTCTTTTCTTCCCCGTGTACGTGTACGTATGTGTGTGAATTGAATACATGAATCACGAATTGAAACTAGCTCACAAAACACGCGTCGAAACTTTATCGATCGTTAAGCGATTACGATATGCACAACTGCAGCAGCAGCAGCAGCAGCTGCGGCGGCATAACATCATGCAGCTATATACAACATCGCTGCCGCTGATACTCGCTGCGCGCGCGCCATTTTCATTAGTATCAACTATATGTGTACAACGTAACATCGAAAGAAAGTGCGCTCTACGCTGCACACGGGCATGCAGATCGGAGCTGGCAATCGCGTATAATGCGCATTTGTAAATACGAGTGCTCGTACACGATATATGCATGTATGAGCGAGCGCCATCGTCGCAGACGGAAACGAGGCGCTCGGATATACGTGTATAAAATAATGTGTATACACGAATGCGTGTGCATGCAAAAACGTGACTGAAGCGTATATATGTACGGCCGGTCGGCAAGCGAGAATGAAAAAGAAAGAGACGAGCGAAAAGGGAGCCGTTGTATCTCGCTGCGGTTTAACATTAAATCTGACGCGCGCCAACTATTCGCACTGTAATATATACGTGTAAGTACGCGTATTTATCGAAGCTCGCTCGTTCGTTTCTTTTTTATTCCACTTTCACACTTGTCATTGCATAAGAAAATGAAAATTATCAACTTCTACAATTTTTTGCGCATTTTCCTTTCATCATTATTAAAAGTCCGATTGATCCGCAAGCTTTGGCTAGTATAAATCGAAAGGTGAATAATGTAAACGGTTATGATTTTACCATTTTTAGTCTATTCGGTGTTGCATAATTATGTACTTCCGAGATTCAATTAAATGAGTATATCAATCAACGATTAAATATTAGCCTAAAGGGTAGCATGCTTTAATTCCGATTATATCCAAAATATCAAATGAGAATAAATTAAGCCGATCGATTTTCGTATATTATTAATGAAGCATCTACTTTGAAGTGTTCTCCCAGTGTCTCTTTCGGTATAACCACGATGCATATTAATATAATGTTTAACTTTGCGCGCACGCGGCGAGATGTATTTGAGCGGTGACACGGTATACGCGTTGCAGGAAGAAAAACACGATCCGCGCGTGGGCGAATTACATATTAACCGGTACAGTTGCTTATTGCTCCGCGCCGCGCGCATATATGAGTGCGGCAAAAAGAGCTTCGCCGTCGACATACGAGCCGCGCATGTATACGGTCGCGTGTTTGACACACGATACTTTCGATAGATAGATGCATATGCACGTATTGTATGTATGTGTGTACTTCGATCGACATTTCACATAGTCGCGAGCGTTTTAAAATGTACAATACCGCTGCGTACTTCATATTATACATATTGTATGCGTTGCAAGCGTGGCGAGGATCGATTACTCATCGTGTGTATAAGGCCTATTTACACGTGTGTGGAATGCACTCGATGGGCCGTAAACATTTATCTCTTTTTATTTTCTTTGCGAATCCGAAGGAGATAATCCATTTAATGACCCGTTTGTGAAGCTGTGTAGTGGTGCACATGCCGTCAGCTGCTACTGCTGCTCTGCTCGACACTATTGATTCTAGTTCGAGAGGAGTTGTGAAGCCGTTTTTTGTTTTTTGTTTTATTTAACAGTGCCATCGATATGATTTATGAAAGTCGTAGGTGTATTATCGCAGCTGCCCAGGCAACGTCCGAGAGATCGAGCTTGTCGATAAGGGAATTGGAAACAATATTTATGATTTTTTTGCAATTCGCGATCCATACGAAATATGTATAACCCTATTCTTTGGAAAACAGAGTATGTTTCGTTTCTTTGGTAAATTTCGAGTTGAACAACACTCAGGCAAAATCATCCGCATTACGTGTTCGAAACTGTATCGATGTAAGGATATACGCTCGAGACGGTAATTTGAAGCTCGTTTTTGCGAGTGCAGCCATGTGACCGTGTGTTATGTATTATATACGTTATGAATTATATTCAATTTTTGATGGTGATTTTGACTGATAATTAAAATTATATTATTAATTTATAACTATTAATTTATAACTATCGTGTAATTTCTATTGCTTAGATACCTTTTGATCATCTTGAAAACTTAATTTGTTTTTACATGATCAAATGTAAATTACAATTTAAATTTGGTTCAAAATCGATAAAAGGCGCCAATTAGTCAACTATAAATATATTCTCTCCAGTCTGCAACGTAGACGTGTTTATTTAAAAGCTAATTGGATTGCGACTCGTTGAAAATTCTCACCGAGCGAAAAATCAAGCCAAATTAAAATTTTTCCACTTATTTTAATGACCCGCTCGAACTTTCAGAACTAAACCGAAACCCGCGCTCTGGGTCAAGTTTTAACTTTCAAATGATATTACCTAAATTACGATATACACACCGGGACAATTTAATGCCACGCGCTCGGTGGCACCGATCGGGTTGCGGCTTTGTGCGTCGTCTCTTCTTCCTTTCTCGCTATCTCTCGCTCCCAGACGTATCGTACAAATACACACACTATTACCTGCGGCCCCGGCGCACACAATTCATTGTCTTGGCAAATTCGCGACACAGCACGGAGCTGTGCTCGTACCCGAGGTTTAATGTAACCGAGAGAGAGAGCCCGCTAGTTTCGCACGCTACTCTTGCGGCTCAACTTCACTGGGTTACCCGGCCACCAGACGGACGCGTAAGTACGCGTGTGTACGCCGCCTTTCTTTAATTGACTTCTTTCGTTGCAGCGCTCGCGACTGAAGCTCACAAGAGTGCACGAGCTATAGGGCACGTTATGTGGAGCTTGAGAAAAGAAAAAATGTAGCAACGCGAGAGATTTTGATTTAATTTATATTTATTTTTTTCGCAGAATTTTCACTGTACATAATTGAAAGGAAGACATGCAACACGCGTCGCGTTTCAGAACTTTCTCGCGCTGCGCAGTTGATCGATTTCAATCCTGCCGTGCTGCTGCTAATGCTGCAGTGCATCTTCGCAGATCCCCATTATTTATGAAAACGTTAATTCGAGCGCGATCCAATCAGTCACGCGTTGGGAAAAGTTCCTCGAATTGTATTTATACGCAGCTTTAAATTAATAATTGTATTTTCAAATTGAATTTACGTGCCGCGCGAAAAGTTTTGTGTGTGCTTTGTTCGAGCGGCAGCAACAACAACAACCTTATGTATATAATAATATATATCTAGAGCAGCCCACGCGAAGTAGTTCTCAATGTTGTCTTGTATATACTACTTCCTCATTGCTTAGTTTTGTATGGATTAAACGTAAACGTTCAAGCAGTTTATACGTTTGGAAAACTTGAAATTGCTTGTAAGACTTTTACGACGAGAGCCTTCACTTCGGTTACTTGAATTAAATATGAAAAGTTTTTCTTTTATTTCTTTCTCTCTTGTTTTATTCAACTATCCGAAGAGCTAACTTTCTACTGAGGGCACGTTCGATGTTTCCCAAGAAACTAATTACTTCGAACTTGTCACCACATAGTGCTGGGCGTTAAAGTCTGAGGTGTTATATGTATGAAGTTGATATTGCAGAATATTAAGCGCCGGTGTGTGCGCGGCTCCTTACCTTAACTATGCTGCTCTGTCGTTGGATGAAGTCCCATGACTGTTGTTGTAGTCCGATCCACTCTGAAAACAGAAATTATTCATTGTGTGACGCTTACTATTGAAATTTTGACAGGCATGAGATTGAGCTATAGAAGAAAATTCAAGGGCCTCGCCATGGTGTAAAATCGTGTTCGGTAGTAAGTATCAATGGCACGCGCGTCGATGGGTTATTTCATCTTCGTAGCGAATGCGTATATTTTAACATGACCGTGAAGTCATGTGGTGAGAAAAAAAATACAGTTCGAGTAGTAGAAGAAAGATTGAAGTGGGTAGTTATATCGGCTGATACAGTTCCAAAACATCAAAGTTTGACCAGAGAGAAGAGTACTTGAAAAAGAAAATATACGGAACAAAGTGAAGTTGAAAATTTTCGTTATAATGCCGATGATTTCGGCTATTTTTTTGTCAGAGCATTTAAACTGTAAACCCTATCCGACGAATAATGTATTGAAAAATCCTTCGGAAAGTTTTTTTTTACTCCTGTCAAAACCGTCAACATGTTTTCTGAAATATTTTTTAATATATTTATATAAACGAGCTTATGCAGCGAAATTCGAACTCGCTACGGAGCTGCACGGAAGTTCAGACGAGCGAGTTTTTTAAATTTCAAAGTATCGCGGCAGCAGCAGCAGCAGCGAGGAACGATTATAAAGCGCTCCGCGCGTTAAGCGTTCGCTCGAAAACACACGCGTGAGTGTACATGTGGGGTGGCGCGCACACGCTAATGAACACGTTTTCCGGGGAGTTAATTTTATATAAAAATCGAATCAAGCTAGTTTAGCGAATAAATTGAAACTTTGTGTAGAAGTTATCGAATAATTTCATTCTTAAATAATAAACTGGCACGGAGTTAAATTATGTATTCAATCGCTTTACGTTGCTGTACGCCGACGCAGCGGCGAGAGAGAGGTATTAAATGCCGAGTGCGCTAATTTATTAAACAAGTCACAAAGTAGCTAGTTGTCATGATCCTCTATATACATACGTATATGTATAAAACGTGCACTGCACGATGCAGCAGCAGAAACAGCCGAAACAGCAGCAGCTCGCGCAATTTTAAAGACTAAAATATGCTAATTTTCTCCTTTCTTCGCATGCGCGACACCGTATCACGTATACATGCATTATACGTGGAGAGAGAGAGAGAGTAACTCTCCGGGAAAAAGGGACCCGAGATACACACTCACACACTCACGTACGAAATTCATTTGGATACTTTTACGGAACGAACGAACGAAGCTAAGCTTCCCAAACCCCCCCTTCGAAGCTAGAAGCTTCGTGCACATTAGGCGCTACATGTTCACCGTACGGAGTACGCAATATACTATGCGACGAGCTGGTGCTGCTACTGCTACTACTACTAATGCTGGGCGCGAAGGCAACGCAGCGTAACAAACGTATAATACATAATGGTGTGCGGTAAAGACATAAGAATAATCCAAGTACGAAATTACACGTGGCGTTGATTACGCGCAGTCGTACGTATACGTTATACACGTACGTGCATGTGCATCAAGGTATGGAGAGAGAGAGAGAGAGAAAGAGATATAGCCTCTGGATTTACAAGCCGTGTGTAAGGGACACGCTTGGAAAAATAGAAAGACTCGAAGCGCGTAAGAGAGAGAGATATGATACCTCAAAAACGCGCTAATTCTTTTTTTCGTGTTTAACGAGCGAATTAATTTTATATACACACTTTTATACTCAAGTACTTGCATTGATCCACCGCAATCGTACAGTTGATAACGATTTTTGGAAGTAGTTATTTCGACGCAAGGCAGAGAGCTTTTGGGCTTCTAAACGAGCCGCCGCGGAGGGGTGCAATAACGTCATTGTCTCACGGACGACGACGGCGGCGGCGGCAATTTCGAGACAAAAAGACGTTAAGGCCCCGGTGCACTTTCTAAAGAAGTCGCCACGTATTTAGATTTATCCGTGAGATTACTCCCCTTTTATAGCGCCGCACTCGCACATTTTTGGCTTTCGTGGTGTGGTTCGCGAAGAAAAAGAGACGAAGCTCGACCGTGCGCGCACGCGGGCCTTTGTGCCTTTTTATATTTACGACGCCTTTAACCCAAACAGCTTTCGCCTCCCATATACACGCGACAATCTATTTCGCGTGCGTATTTATGTACGTTGGGTTTTTTTTTTCGTATACCGAAGTGCGCGAAAGCATAACGCGCGTTTTAAACCGCCCGTGTATGCGTGTGCGTGCGCGTGTATTGTACGCCGCGCGAACTCGATAACAGGAAGCTATACGTGGTATATATATGTTTGCTGCGGTGCAAACGTGTGAGCAACGAGCTGGCCTGCATCGAGGCAACACACGAGTATATATGTGCATTGCAGCGCGTACGGCATTACGCAAAAAGAAAAATGATTGTTTATCTCATTTTCGTACGTCAGTATAGAAAAAGAGGGAGAGAAAGAGTACTTATAATACTCACACAATCGTTTTTCGTACATAGCAACGACGCAAGGCTGTTGACCTGATTCGATTTTGAGCTCTATTATGTACTGTTATTATTATTTACGTCCGTAAACTTACGCACTCGCGTATAACTTTTAACGAGATTTTGCTCTTTTTATTGCGACTTCGCGAAGACCGTGGGGGCGATCGAGTTTAAAATTATTACGGGCCATCGATCGGCCAAGTACGTACTGCTGCACATTCGACGTTGCGGTGCGACGAGCAAACAACTTTGGCCACCCTCGCCACCGCCCGAGCTTGCGATTCAGCTCCGTCCTCGTTCCAGTTTTGAACGCACGACTCGATGCTCGTTGTTTTTGTACACACACACACACACAGCGTACACATCAAAACGCGCCCCGAAAAACGTGACATTTGATTTTATAAACAAACGAATCTATACGCGCGCCTCGTTGACTTTCGCGACAGAGCTCGAATACGTCAATTGCGTCATCGAGCGATAACGGAACGTGCGCGTATGTCGTCTAGCGCGGAATGAATTTTTAGACGCGCGGTGGTACGATATCGAAAGAAATATCATTTATTCTTTGTTTCGCGCGAAATAGAGCACGCGCGCGCGACCAGCGGCAGCCAATATCGCGTCCGTGTGTACGCGAATGCAATTTATTTATCCCCGAGAACGAGAGAAGAAAGTGGAGTGTAGGATAACAAAAAAATGTAAATCGACTTCTGTCCGGACGCTAGCTTGTGTGTGTTATAGACCTTCGCCCGAACGTATAATATAAAAAATTCCTTCGGCCATATAACCCAGTTCTGTTCTCTCCGATAAAATAAAAAAAAAAGAGCAATAGGCGCCAGCAGCAACACCACCAGCACCGTCACCGCTCGTATATATGCAAGTGAGTGCACACAAGGTCGCTCTCAAAGCAGCTCTGAAAACGTTGATTTCCATATGCTATGTATGAGCTGACTACACAGCGATACCTGCTGGAGAAAACTCCGAAATTAAGTCTTTGCATCACTGGCCGTCAATCGTTTTCAATTGATTGTTTTTTTTTTCATTTAGTATGCCTCTCCACTCGCTGCGGAGCATACAAGCGAGGTCGACGCAATGAATTTGGCTGCAATTTTTAAAACGACAATCGATGCCAATTAGCATTTCTCAAATTCCGCAAGCTGCTTTACAAGCTCCGACTCGACACGCACGCCCGTTGCACGTAAAACGTATATATAGTACACACACACCCGTATATGTATACGCGCGAGCGAGCGCAATCGATCGTCGTCGTCGTCGTCGGGAGGGCTTTGTGTTTTGAGGAAAGTTGCCGGTTGCACAGCCCGACTTGCGACGACGACGACGACGACGTTGCGCTGCCGACGTTGTTGCCGTTACCGCCGCCGCCGTCGCCGCTGCCTCCTCCTCCGCACCGTCGATGAAGTTGGCGGCACGCAGACATGCACACACGTACGTACGCGCACACAAGCTGCTACAGTCGTACTTACACAGACAATAACTATCGATCGTTACTAGTAGCTGCTACTACTGTAGCAGCAGCAGCAGTGGCACAGCGGCAAAGTCGCGAGCAGCACTCGCTCGACTATGTATTCGCATCGAAAGTTTCGGGATATACCATGTATGTATGCGAGAGGAGAGAGACGGAGAGAAAAGGATAGAGCCTTGTCTGCCTTCCTATCTGTTCTATAGCTACGTGCAATGGGCATACGGATCAGGCACGAGTGCTGCGTGGATGTCTTCACGCGCACCTACACATATACCTATACGGATATGGAAGAAACGTTTTGCACGTATATAGAGCTGGTCGACGTACTTCTGCTGCTGTTTCTATACTGCTCTCGATCTAAGTGTAGCTGTAGGGCTTACAGCACTACTACTACTACTACACTACTACTATTCGCGACAGACAGGCGGAGAAAGAGAGAGACGACAAAGTCACGGAAACTAATCAAATGCGAGAACTCGTGAAAATTCGCGAAGACTCGAGAACCACGAGGCGCACGAACATTTCCACTGTACTGCTGCGTCATAATTATAGTACTCCGTAACGAGTAGCAAAATATGTGCAATCTGCCGAAGGACGACAGAATTGAAAAATGTAATTTCGCACTTTCATCGCGTATAGAAATATTTTCGCTGTAAATGACGATTACAATCAAAAATAAGTTGTTTTCCATTTTTTTTTCTTCTTCATTTTTATTCGACTCGAAACGTAAGTTTGTATTTGTATAGTAAAGTTTGTAATTTACAACTTTTTTACAGGGGGAAAAAAATTTTAGATAAGCGGGTACAATTTTTTTACAAGGAATTTTTACATTTTTTCATTTCATTTTTTTTTTTTTTTTTTTTACTTATTGAGCTCGAAAGAAAAAAGTTTTTTTGCCGAGCGATATTCAACTGTAGCAACGCGCGTTCCATGCCGCGTGGACATTTACATTATAAATGGAGTAAACTTTCATTTCTCATTGTCATGCATAAAAATAATCATAAGCGAGCGAAAAAAACAACAGTCAAAAATAAAAGTAGAGAGAGAGAGAGAGAGCCTAACTTTCTATTAATAATAAACATATAGCG